ATGGGTGAATAACATGATAAATCATGTGTAAAAATGATCCGAACAGCAGCCAAAAGAAGCCTGAGAAGGAATCAGATTTGCTTTGGCTCTCCACCGTATCCCTGTCCCTAACAAACATATATATAGATGTATTGAAGGATCTTAATGTCCTATGGGCAGCTGTTTCTTTGAAACATTTCGTCGAACATATGGTGGAAACCAACATCATAAGGGCATATTTCGACCTCTCCAAGTGTTAGTCCCTTTTTTCCTCATTCCTCCGGGTCGAATCTTTTTGGGAACGGAGCGAGCGAGAGAGAGAGGAAGAGGTCGGGTCCACACCAATGCCCCAATTGAATCTCTAGCTCGTAAGAAGAGTAGTTCAATTTCGGACAAAATTGAAAGTTGGATTAGGTTGAGAAAAGCGGACAAGCATGGGCTAGCCCTTGATGGCTTACTTCTTCTGGCCCGATCATAGTTTGCGTAGGCGTGCCACTATTAGGGATGATACCAGCCCAATAGACTTGGTATATGTGATGTAGAATGTTTTGTTTGATGGACTTGTGTTTGTTCTAGACCTCTAATCAAGTCATTGTGCTCCAAGGGGGTACTAGCTCGGATGAATTCTTTTCTATGCCTCAATTAAGAGGACTTCAGATTCTTTCAATTGTGAGTCTATAGCTTAGCAAATGCGAATAGTACCTAGCCAAACAGAAAAACCAATGTAAGGGTCAATGCTCCTTTGATTGGGCTCAGAAACCTAATTCGGGTCTGTGATAAGCCCGGATTGGGTTAGGACTTAGTTAATTCGGGGCCAATGGTATGATTCGGGCCTTGACAAACCCTTGTTTTCGGGCTAATGAAGCCACATTCAGACCTAGAACCCTCATTCTGGGCTTGTATAGTAATGAACAGTTGTAACAAAAGATTCAAATATAAAAAATGCGGGAAAGTAAGATACGAAAAAGATAAATGGCCGGAATGTAAAGTACGATTAAGGTAAATTGCATAGAGAATAAAGTTCCAGAAGCTGGAGATTTCTCTATCCAGCTCAAGCATGATAACATGTTAAAACGAAAGCCAAACATTTCTCCATTTAGCTGTTTTTAAAGAACAAGTTACAATATTGATTAGATTGGAGATTTCTCTTATCCAATATGTATAGGTTTCAGCTATTTAGAAGGAAACTAGACTGACTATTTAAACAAGAATCATACCATGAAGATGGCGGAGCAATCAAAGATAAACGTAGTTGTCAACTGGTTATCTAGGCAGCAAGTTGGCTATTTGAAAATCTTAAAGTTTTGTTCAAGTGTTTACAAGATGTCTTGTTTGATTTTGGAGAGAGTGTCCCCAAGTGCTGCTATTGAGCCTTTATATTTATAGGCAAAAAATCTTTAGTGGTGACGGTGAAGGCTGGAAGATAACACTTAAGTGTTGTCCAAAGTCAACTGCCGATTTGTCCTCGTGAGTCGATCCATAGGTAGGAGAAAGGATATCTCATATGAAAACACTAGTTTCCAGGGATATCCCTTTGATTTGTCGTCCTTTTGCAGCTAGAAAACCAGTCAGAAGACAGTTCCTCTTGGTTTTGGCGTCAATTAGCTATCCTTCTTTCTTATTGAGAGATGGCAGTCAAGTCATTCTTAATGGCGAAAACCCATCTTCAAAAAGTCACGTATGTCAACTGATAACGGTTACTTACTTTCCTAACTTTAGTGTGGGTTAAGGCTAAGGCTTTTTGAGGTATGGGCTTCTGATGGGATTTCAGCCATTTACGGCCCAAATATGGAAAAGCCCTTTTTGTTAATTTGGAAAGAAAGAAACTGGGCATGGGCCTCATGTAACTTCATTTGAAAAATAAACCAAATTTGGTCCATTTTCCAAATATGGTACAAACATTGCCCCATACTCAGTGCTTGTAGTTCTTTTGAATTATAAGAAAAATTCAAATAATTAGTTAATTATTAACTAATCTGGTTTAATTTAAATCATAGAGCTCTAGACGTGTACAAAAAACAAAAGTATTATTGAAAAAAACTTACATATGTATAATACAAGTATTAAACGTGAAAATGCTAAATTCTTTATATGGATAATAACTTCGGCAAAGTGAAAAAAACAAAGGGGATAATAGAGACTCGAGTAATGGCCTAATAAAAATGGATAATGCTCTAAACTACTCTTATCGATAAAAGAAATCGGGGAAACAAGTTATAAAAATATAAAAAAAATTGGATCCCAGTATATATATACACATGAATCATTAAACTAAGGGGGTTGTATTCAATTGAGATTTTAATGGATTGTTTTGCAACTTTAAAATCCAGTGGTATTCAATTAGGATTTGTAAGTAATCAATAAAAATCTGGTGGTATTCAATTAGGGTTTTTAAATCATAAATACAAGTATGGTGATATTCAATTAGGACTTTTAAAAGATAAGACAAAGTACCGTGGTATTCAAAAACTTACCGATTTTGAAGTATTTCATTAAATGATGTATTGTGTGGTACTTTTGAGTGGGTGATATAAATACCAAACCCCATAAAAAAATCTCACCCAGCTATGCCTGATTCTCACGTTCTTTGTTTTTCTTTTGGGAGAAGATGAACAGACACATCTGAGAAGAGCTCCTATTTCATGGTTGTTCTCTATACTAGCGATGTTCATATACGTTTTGCATCTATTCATGGTTATTCTCTATCTATTAACTAGCGCTGGTTGCATACATTTTGCGTCTGCATACGTTCATGGTTGTTCTCTATTAGCGTTGTTCTCCCCAACCACTCACTCCATTAACACTTCAGTTTTTAAATCCTATCAAAACACGATTATTTTGCTGAAAGACATGTAAAGTATTGTATAACTAGCCTCTCTACACGCGCTTCCGCTCCTGCGAGAGGCTTTTTTAAAAAACATTTAAATTTATTTTAGAATTAAAAAAGATAATGGGTAGTTGTGTTCCATAAAAAGAGGATCCATTATCTTATTTTTCTTTTAGTTTTAATTTTTTTAATATGAAAAGTGTGAATTTACCATAGTATCCTCATTTAATTAATAATTTTAATTCTTAAAGTTTAAATTAACTAAGGGCATTTTTTGGTATTTTGAATGTTTCACCATTCTCTCCCTTTTACTTTATATATATAGATTAAGTAGGTGAGGTGAATACCACGTGGATTTAAAAATTAATTAAAACTTTTAAAATCAAAATATATAAAATAAGAAAAAGTAACCAACCAAAAAAAAGAAGAAAAACAAACCCAGCCCATCCTAATTCCCCATCCCCCATCCTCCCGACCCCATCCTATCCTAATTCCCCATCCCCCATCCCCCATCTCATCCTCCCGACTCCCACTCTCAAACCCCCAACACCCCCCCCCNNNCCCTCTCTCTCTTTCTCTCTCTCTCTGTGCACAAAGAACTCATATTCAGATCCAGGTTAGGGGTCATCGCTCTCTCTCTCCGTTTCGCACATAGAAGACAACGTCGTACGCAAACCGAATTTGCTGGAATAAATTGAGAGGAGTCTGCTAGCAGCCATGGGGTTGTTGGGTGGTGCAGTGGGTATCCTTGGTGGTGGTGGGTGGGGATGGGAGAAACGCAGTGGGTATTTGATTTTAAATTTGTGTTAAAATATCGACTTGGGTTGGGGGTTTGAAGAAAGAAAGAAAGAGAACCGGAGAGAGAGGAAAAAATAGGGGGTCGGGGAAGATGAGATGGGGTTGGGTTCCTTGGAACTGATCTTCACTATAATTTTGTATTGCTTTTGCTCTACTTCTCCTTGGCAAAGAGATTAGAGATCAAATGATTACAAAGGGATGGGGTGGGTGGCGAGGATTGGGGCGACTGGGGGAGTGATTGGTTGCTGGGTAGGGTTTTTAATTATTAGAATATTTAATTATATGTTTATCTATGTCGAGGTTGGCTCAACTTGCCATGTCACCCACTCAATTGGTGTAATGATTCATGTGTACTAGCCTCCCTGCACGCGCTTCCGCGCGTGTGAGAGGCTTTTTTTAAAAACTGCAAAGATGGACATCTAGAAAAATACGGGCGATAAAGAAAAACTTTTAAGACGACGATATATCACACGCGTGCGATTAAAATATGAAACTGTTGAAACAATTGCACGTGCGACATCTATATAAATACAATTGCAAAAAAATATTTACGGAACTTTGGAAGTCGCGCGTAGCGCGCGTGATTAAAAAAAGCCTTTCGCACACGCGGAAGTGCGTGCAGGGAGGCTAGTCTAATGAATTTTAAGAGCTAGGGGGATTCTTATTCAATTAATTACCGACACATTAATCTATATATATAAATATTATCCAAAGCAAATCCAACATTAATAGGAAAATCTCAAATAATTTAAATAAAATAATATTTTCATTCTACACAACATCATAGTTTTAGATGATGGACATAAATATTTACATAATATGCACATAGGAGAAAGACATGCAACAATCAAGACCACTTGTGTCACCCGTTCCTCTCTAATTGATCACTTTTTCATTGTCAATTTGTACATAAATAACATGAGATGAGACCAAGTTTAAACATATACTTTTAAATTTTGACAAATTTTAGCATAATTTGGGAACATGTATACTCACCTTCAATTTTGATAGTTTATCCTTTGCTACATCCCTACTCCAATTATCGGAAGAAAACTGTACCAAAAATAGTGTCATTTTCAAAAGTCAAGAGACAAAAGGAAAATCCTTTCATTTCATTATAAGAAGCCAAGTTTAACAATAAAATAATTAATAATAAATTTGTAGATGTATGTCTCAACAGTTTGTTTCTTTCATAGCATGTAAACCGTTGTAGTGGCATTCGCAATTGCTCTGATGTGGAAACTTATTTGAAGCATATGTGCTGTATTGGTGGTTAAACCTCTGGATTGGAAATATACCAAATTTACCGTGTTAAAAAAATTTCTCCTTTTTTTTTAATTTTATTATTTTTGTTTCATTTTCTTCCTTTTGTTTCTCAGCAAAGGAGAACAAATGATCATTTCAACTGTTGTAGTCAAACAAATTCTTTGATCCCATTGTTGTTAGGAAACAAACAACATTTAATACAACACATAATTTTTTATGAATATAACTAAATTTCAAGGCTGATAAACCTAAAGAAGTTGAAGACCCACACGTGCAGCCGATCTATCTACAACAACAATGAGAGAACAATAACTCCTGCACAACAATTATCGTGGGTTTGATAATCCATGAAGCCAGTAGCAAAAGAAACTTGAAGTATAATGAAGAAAAAAAAAAAGGAAAACCTTTCCTTCCCTTTTCCTCCCTCCCACTCTATTTTAATTCCTGTAGCAAATGAATCCCCTGAGAAATAAAAGAAAACCAAAAAGAGAGATAAAAAGAAGGCATCAAACCAAAGCGTCATAAAAAACCAAACCAAACCAAAAGAACTGAAAACTGGAGAGAAGGCAGAGAAATAAATGTATAATTAAAAGATAATCAAAAGCTTTTTTTATTGAGCCTATTAAATGTCAAATGTCACAAAATGCACAAAATCATGAGAAAGAGAATTACCTGAGAGGATTGGTGAATTAGTTAGACATCACGATTTTGTACCCCAAACCCAAACATATGATTCTGTATTCAGAAGGAATAAAACCATGAACCAAAAAAAATAAAAATAAAGCCAGACTAAGCATCCAAACAGATATATCACTTAAGTGGTGTAATGAAAACACAGAATAAACAATTATTTCAATGTAATCGGTTTTGTTGAAAGCAGCTCACCAATTCCTCTGCAAGCCTCCTGCACTTTGGGAAGTTGAACCCCCCTTGAAGACCTACAATGTTAACAATTCACATTAAGGAACGAAAGTAAAAAAAATAGCCATTTGAACGAAATTTGAAACATAAAGATTGCATACGTCTTTATTTAAAACCAATCTCAATACATCAAGATTGCATACGTCTGCTTGAACATAAAAGCCTCGAGCTGCTGTCTTCTTTGTCACCAATTTAACTATCAAAGAAACAAATATCAGCATAAAAAGAAACAAACCTCTAAAAAGAGAAGAAACACAGCCACAGCCAGTAAGTCCTTTAGCAGTTTTCCTCCCCTTGAACTCCCTCCATCTCTATCATCCTCATTTTGCTTTTAATTCTTCTACCAAAGGAATCCCAGGAGAAAAAAAAGATAGAAGGAAAAAAATCATAGCATAATCTGTATACATGCGGTCCTCCTCGTCTTAGAACCCTTTCACCCCGTTCACCTTCCTGGCTTGGGTTTCATATCACAGTCATGGCCAAAAGAGATGTTCTCAGCTACCAACTGCTCCACATAACCAAGTGAGCAGGGGTTGCAATATCCACAATATACAACATATACATATATATCTATATAATAGTAGAAATATAGCAACAGTAGTCATTGTCATCAGTTTAAGACAATCTATAAGTTATGGCAAGTTTAAATCTCAATTATATATGAAGAGCCAACAATACACAAAAAGAGGGTTGCATTTCCTCGAATGCAGTAATGTATATGGATGAAACTATTTTTCATTCTTACAAAAATGCAATCATTGCAGCAAACATAAACAGATTGGCAAAAAAAGAAAAACAACATAAACAGATTGCTTCTTTATATAACCTGAGAAGAGAACCAAACAACGCACTCAGTAAGGAAATAACATAATAACAAATACACAAAATTTGTGATGAAAGAATAACAAAACCCACCATTTCATAAAATGAACGACCAAGGAACAAATATGAGACTTGTTGCAACATCTCTCTGTTTTCTCTTCAAAGTATTCTCTGCAAAAGAGTGAAGAAAAAAAAAACTCCACCATGTCATTTGAATTCGTAGAACAAAACCAAATACATTTTATCAAACACCTACCCTGCGAATTAACCATGCGAGTAAACACCTACCCTATTCTTGGAGTTGCAGCAACTGTTCTTGAATAATCAAGAATCCAAATATAAGTTGAATAACCAAACTTTCATTCATATCTTAAATTTCATACCTACCATTTCATATAGCAAATAAAAATCAATCCGATAAATGGTGAGCATGCAGCAAAAGGAGTAAGTTTCTCAAAACTCTCTTACCCACTGTAATTTACCGTTTCATTTGGACATGGGTCTGATATGAACACAAAAGCCATGAGAACCGTTCAACATACACGATAGAGAAATACGGAAAATCATCAACAAACACCTTTCCTCTAAAACCTTCTCTGAACGTGAAAGATCTCAAAACCCAATCAAAGAAAGAATATAATACAAATAAGAAAGAAAGATCTGTTAGGCTTACCACCTTCTAAAACTTTCAGTTGAAATCATAGGTGTTTAATTCTTGGAGATGCTGGGAAGTAACCCAATTAAATGAGAAATTTTCTGAGGAAACCAAAACAACAGTAAAAGAGGGATAAAAAGAAGGCATGCATCAAATTAAGCGGGGAAAACCTGGGAAATTGGTGAAGCTGGCAAGGAGCGTTGTGGTTGTTCCCAGCCGTGGTTCTCTATTTTTCTGCTCCTCTTTCTGTTTTTCACATTGTAAGAAGAAAGGCCTATGATAATTGGGTTTGAAGGAAGTGGGGGGCAAACTGAAAGGAACTGCTACTGGAACTGCTCTTAGACACGATGAGGCCGAAGAAACTGATAAGAAGAGCAACTGCTCTGGAGTGAGGGTCTGTACCTTTTTTCTTTTCTTTTTAATTTTTTTTTAAAGTTATGCGTAATTGTTCTTTTACAATTATATCCTGCTTTAATTAAAATAAGTGCGTTTTAATATTAGTTTACCAAGGATATTTTCGGGGTTTTTGAATGTTTCACCATTCTCTGCCTTTTGCTTTATATATATATATGAAATTACAAAAACATCTCAACCACGTCATCAAATTTAAAAGAGTTTTGGATGAAGTTGACAACATGGGGCAAAGTGGGTCACCAAATCTCGGTCAAGGGATGAAAATGCGATACTATTTTTTAAGAAATAAAAAATACCTAGCTATAGCCATGCAACTATACTATTTTGAAAAAATACCCAGTCAAAAAAGGTGACCAACAGCTATACCTTTTATTTTTTTTAAATGAAAAAAAAAATACCCCTAGTTGCATTAGTTTATACTTTATTGATATTAATTGACTAGTTTCAACATATTCAAAGCGGATATTGAAGAGAGAGAAATTTCACAGTAAATCAATATGAGAATTCAATTTTTCTTCTTCTTCTTTTATTGGGGGAATGTTTTTCTCTGGAGGAACAATGATCAATATTATTCTAGTAATTTAATTAAACAACAAATAGAATAATGAAATTAAATATGGCAGTAAATTAAAAAGTGATTGTTCTTGCAGAATTGCAATGTCCTTGAAACATAATTTCACCCCACTCAGTGCTTGTAGTTCTTTTGAATTTTAAGAATAATTCAAATAATTAGTTAATTATTAACTAATTGGGTTTAATTTAAATCATAGAGCCCAAGACGTGTACATAAAACGAATGTATTATTGAAAAAAACTTACATACGTGTATAATACGAGTATTAAATGTGAAAAATGCTAAATTCTTTATATGGGTAATAACTTTGGCAAATTGAAAAAATCAAAGGAGACAATAGAGGCTTGAGTAATGGCCTAATAATAATGGATAATGTTCTAAACTACTCTTATTGATAAAAGAAAATTGGGGAAAAAAATTATATAAAAAAGGGGAGCTTATACATAGATAAAGTATAGCCGCTCGGCTATACAATTCATTAAAAAAGGAGTTTTTTAAAAACCCAACTAAAGCCGTTCCTTGACCAAAAAAAGACTAAAGCCGTTCGGCTATGCTATTTTGAAAACAAAACCAGAGTAGGCTATACTATTTATAAAATAAAAAAGGTCTGGCTAGCGCGTAGGGTCCAGGTGGGAAAACAAGTGTAGCCGACCGGCTATACAATTTTTTTTTAAAAAAAAAATTGCCGTAGGACAGCCATGCGGCTATACTATTTTTCAAGAAATAAAAAATATCCTGTAAAAAAGGCGACCAATGTGTAAAAACAGTATAGCCATTCAGCTATACGACTAAAAAAATGAAATACTGTACTATAGCCGCCCATTTACATATATTTACAAGGTGCTAATAAAACAATAAAAATGCACATTAAAATAAGTACACTTGGAATTCTATTGTTGAACATATTTTCATTTTGATAATATGTGTTTTGCGATTACATTTTTAATATGTATTTGTTTTATATTAAAGCTTATTGAAAATTCGAGTGGTTTATAAGATTTAAATCATACTTTTATTTCTAGAAAGAATATAGAAACTATAAGCAAAATAAAAATGATGATTAAATTTTGAACTAATAACTGTAGCTAGCCCACACATTAACAAATTCCTGGTTCCACCCCTGTTTGTTAGACAAAAGATTGCAAGCCAAGATGGGTGATTTTGGTATTTATAGAGCTTTTGCAACTGAAAGTTTCACTCATGTATCAACTTTGCCCAAAGGAACACTTGGATACCTAATCGCTAGGCGCCTCCGTTTTTTAATATATAAATAGTATAGCCGAAGGGCTATACAGTTTAAAAAGAAAATTTAATCGGGAGAGGTTTTGGCCTACTTCTGTAATTTAATATATGGAATTAAGTAATATCCTAGCCTTTTTGAATTACTTTAATTAGTAATTATATTTTAATTATTATTTAATATATAAAAATTAAAGAAAAAGTCCACAAAATAATTCATTTCTATTTATTAAGTCTTTTGTGAAATCGTTTGGGCGTCTTAATTAAATTTTTACATAGCCCAAGAGCCCTATCCGTTACTATTAGGCCATTACTAGAGTATCTATTTTCCCTTTTTGATTTTTTACTTTTTCAGAGTTATTACCCGTATAAAGATTTTAGTGCTTTCACGTTTAATAATGTATTATACACATACGCACGTATTTCTTATGTTTACACGTATTTTTTACAAAAATTGCAATAAGACACACAAAATTCACGCATTATACACATAATTCTCACATATTATTGAATAAAAATAATCTATATTTTAAAAAATGGTATATTCACACGGTTATACGCAGTTTTTTCCTAATTTTTTTTTTTAAAATTGTATAGTTGTGCGGCTTTACGGTTTCGACACGTGGCACCTAGGCGTTGGGCCCCTCCTTTATTTATACTAGCCTCTCAGCGCGCGCATCCGCGCCTGCGAGAGGCTTTTTTTAGAAAATTTTAAATTTATTTTAGAATTAAAAAAGAGAATGGGTAGTTGTGTTCCATAAAAATAGGATCCATTATCTGATTTTTCTTTTAATTTTAATTTTTTTTAATATGAAAAAGTGTGAATTCACCATATTATCCTCATTTAATTAATAATTTCAATTCTTAATATTTGCATTAACCAAGGGCATTTTCTGGTATTTTGAAGCCGGAGTGGTTTTTTTTTTAAATTTTAAAAATGTATAATTAGTTTCTTTACTCTTTTTTTTTGTCCTACTTCTTTAATTTAATATATGGAATTATGTAATATCTTAGCCTTTTTAAATTACTTTAATTAGTAATTATATTTTAATTATTATTTAATATATAAAAAATTAAAGAAAAAGTCCACAAAATAATTCATTTCTATTTATTAAGTCTTTTATGAAATCGTTTGGGTGTCATAATTAAATTTCTCCATAGCCCAAGAGCCCTATCCGTTACTATTAGGCCATTACTCGAGCATCTACTATCCCTTTTTGATTTTTTACTTTTCCAGAGTTATTACCCATATAAAGATTTTAGCGCTTTCACGTTTAATAATGTATTATACACATACGCATGTATTTCTCATGTTTAATACACGTATTTTTTACAAAAATTTCAATAAGACACACAAAATTCACGTATTATACACATAATTCTCACATATTATTGAATAAAAAATAATATATATTTAAAAAAGTGGTACAGCCGAACGGCTATACTCAGTTTTTTCCTAATTTTTATTTTAAAATAGTATAGCCCAACGGCTTTACTCTTTTGACACCGAGCTTTTTACAAAAATTGAATATAAACTTAGTATCTTTAGGTCAATAATTTTTTTTTTTTTTTATAAAAAATTTCTTTTCAGTAATTCAATAAAATCTTATCCGGATTTAATTTCTTTCCTTAGTAATTATGTTCTAAGTATTATTTCTCTAGTGAATAATTAGTATTAAATATTTTAATTAACATCATAAATGATATTACTTAATAAATAGTATTTAGTCTTTAAAATTTTTGAATTTGATAAAATTCTTAAATACTAATTATTCACTAAGTAAACAATAATTAAAACATAAGTAATAATTAAAGTAATTACAAAAGAGAAATTTAGATAATGGTGTTTATAGTATATAGTCGCCCGGCTGTACTTTTAAAATATTTTATTTGTAGAGTATTGCCGAGCGGCTATACCCTTTAAAATAAATAAATAAATAAATTGGGCCTCCTAGGCGCTATGCGGGTCCTTTTAAATAAAATAAATAGTATAGCCACGTGCCTATACTCTTTAAATATCTAATGGGTGCCTTTTTGTTTTTTAAATCTTTTCTCCCTGATTTTCCTTTGTCGATAAGACTAGTGTAGAGTATTATCCATTACGTTTAGGCCATTACCAAGGTATAGCTATTGTCCCCTTTTGATTTTTTACTTCTCCAGAGTTATTACCTATATAAAGAATTTAGCATTTTCCCATTTAATACTCATATTATACACGTACATACGTATTTTTCAATAATACTTCTGTTTTCCGTATATGTCTTAAAGACTCGGTATAATGAAAGCAAACGTATAATACACATATTTTAATGATTATTTAATATCAAAGAACAAAAAACAAAGTCCAGAAAATAATTCAAAACAATTAATTACTATTTACCAAGTAATTTACGAAATCAGTAAAATATTTAAATATTCACTAAATAAATAATAATAATAAAATAATTACTAATTAAAGTAATTAAAAAAAGGCTAAGGTATTACTTAATTACATGTATTAAATTAAAGAAGTTTGCAAAAAAAATAAAAGTAAAAAAACTTTAAAAATTAAAAATTAAAAATTAAAAAAAGAAAGCAAGACAACCTCTCCCGAGGAAATTTCATAGGGAGAAACCTAATCCGGCAAACAGTTGCCAACATAGACCTATGCCGACGAAATTTCGTTGGAAGAGGTTTTTTTAAAAAATAAATATAAACTTAGTATCTTTAAGTCAATAATATATATTTTTTATATATAAAATTTCTTTTCAGTAATTAAATAATATCTTAGCCTTATTTAATTCCTTTCATTCTTAATTATGTTCTAACTATTATTTCTCTAGTGAATAATTAGTATTAAATATTTTAATTAACAT